CGGCGTCCAGAGACAGGGCGCGGTGAACTCTCAGGGACAGCAGCGAGACCTCTTTCAGGTTGGTCGGTCTGTAGGAGGCGAGGTTTGGTTTAATATTGTGTTTTTAATTAGAGTTAGGTTTCTGATGTTGGCGGCTGCCCTTGTACAACGTGTGGGCAACGGGGAGGCCCCGTGGGTGGGCAGGCGGGAGCTGAGGCACCTGTCGAGGCCTGTGAGGCTGCCCGGCAAAGAGGAACGCCGTAAGCCGCCTAAGCCACCTCCGCCCTGTTCTGACTCCGAGTCAAGTAAAACAAAAAAGTCAAGTTTAGTCTTCACTCTACAGTTAGCAAGAAGCATCGTAACAGTTGAAGTTTTTGTCATGTTTTGAACACTCATTAGCACTTCAGACTGGCTATTAAAGGACATGAAACCTTTGATCACCACGCCTTTTCTTGTTAGCAGTACTCACTAGTGTAATGCTTTTTTAAAAAAAATTGTAATTAAGTGAAAAAATTGTGCTTTAACAATTTTACTTGGGATGTAGCGGTTTCAACTATTGAGATTACTGGCCTGAGCAAACTACATTTTCTTCTCCCTGAAATAATGTTTTTAAACTCCTGAAATCTTAAAATAGTAATAAAATAATTCTAAAAGTTATGCAGAAGCCTGAAAGATCCTCTTTTACTGCCTCTAAATGTTTGGGCGTTTTTAGTGTTTGGTGCAAAGGTGAATACTTTTACTCACAATTGAAACTAATGATTTCTTGTCTTCTAAAGGTCTGCTATTTAATGAGATATTATAAGCATGATACAACATTGGTCGTGTAACAGTGACACACTCATTGAATTTTCTTTGCTAGTACCAGTTAGTGAGTTAAAATGCTATTTGGAATAGACTTCTGACTAACTTTAAAAAGGACCTCTCTCAATTATAAATAGAAGGAAAATTTATAAGCCTCAGAAATCCTCAAAGTACCAAAGTGCAGTCTTTTATTATGTTTTCAGCCTGATATTCAAAAGGTTCCAAATAACAGTAAAATAAAACAGCTAATTCCTTCAGGGGTCTGTAACTGTAGGACCTTTTTCTTAAATCAAGATCTATTCCTCTACGCAAAACTGGCATTTAATTAAAATAACTTTCATATAACTATTTGTATTCTAAAAACATGGGATGTGTGAAAGGTTAAAAGCAAGCACTCATTTTTAGAGGTATGTTTCAGGGAGCTCTGAAGGGAACGCGTGGAAACTGTCAGTGAACGTTTGCTCATCAACCCCTGTCCTTCCCTTTGCTCTTCTAAATGGCCAAGATCTGCCCCAAGTGACGATGGGTGATGTCTCTGCAATGAATTCATGCCATGAGGGTTTCTGCCAGCTCCGCTAGTCAGGAGCAGGCGGGCAGCACGGTACAGGTGGCAATGGCCCGGCGGTGCGTGGCAAGGCGTGACGTGGCGTCCGTCCCGCGGGGAGGGGAGGAGGCAGCTGGAACGCTGAGCGAAAGCGAGAAGGTGGGGGCTGTGGCTTCTCCCCCGGCCGTGCGGCGAGTGGGTGGCCGGCTTGCTGGCTGCCCGTGGGAGAGGTCAGAGGGGCTTTGGGCAGAGGCAGGGTTGGTCACACCAAAGTCTTCCTCAGCTCGAACGGGCGCGGTGAGGGACCCAGAGTTCCTGTGCTGCAGGTGGGTTTGTAGGTGGGAATTGGGGATGAGAGAGAGGTGGCTTTTGTGGCTGCTGTTTCCACCTGCATTGATGAGTTGGGACCGGGCTCAGACACACTTTGTTCTCCTTGCCCCAGCCTCCCGTGGAGAAAGACAGTGGACCGCAGGTGGTAACTGCTGCTGTCAAAGGTCTTGGGAAGAACTAAGATGCAGGAAAATAGGCTTTTGTTTCCTATAAATGCTGAATGGTAAAGTTTTCTTTCAGAAGTAACTGTGAAAACCTGACCAAGAAAAACAATACCGTCTTATGGAGTAAATCTTCCTATTGGCATTTAGAGGATGCTGAGTGATGAGGATTGGGTTTACAGAGGAAAATTTTCTCCTTCTCTCTGGAGCTTAGCTTCTTTCATACAGCGAGGGGAAAAAATCACCTCTCTGCAGGCCTGGCTGAAGTGTAACAGTGGTGGTAAGCAGTGGGGAAGGTGAAAGTGAAGAGTAAGATGCAGACAGAGAAAAGGTCAGTTATTACTAGAACTACATATATTTTTGTGGGCTTGGCAGTACAGAAAATATTTCTTTAGCAAAGGGAAGGAGGATTGTATATACTTCACAGCTTGTAGAATCCTAAAAATATGTTTATCCTTGGCAAAATGTCTTAAAGTCTCAGAAACCGTACAATGTCACAAGCACCTCACAAGGAGTCATCTGGGACCCTGCCTCCTGCGATTTCAGTGCAGGGTTTGAGCTGGACAGCTGCTTCTGTGGGCAGTGTGTTAGGCTTTGAGGTTCTACACAGAGATTAACTCCTTGAAATTTAATTGCCAGCTATTGCATGTTCAAAACACTCGCTGATTTGTTGGGTCTTTTTTCAGTATTAAAGTTCAGTTTTTTCAGTATTAAAGTTCAGTTATTTTTTCAGTATTAAAGTTCAGTTTTTTCAGTATTAAAGCATTTCTGGATAAAAAGCAAAAATAAAGGAAGAAGTGAATAGGCCTTATGGTTATATAAAACTCTATTAGAATTAATTTTGGAATGTATTCTATATATTAATGCTGGCTAATAATGTGTGTTTAATGGGAAAGCTTTTTTAAAAATATGTCCAAATGCTGATGCTTCTGAGATTTTTCACAATATTCTAACGTGATGACATTAATTTCTGAGAGAGACTGTAAAGGGCATACTTAGGTCTGACGTTTATACCTTCCATAACACCAATTAAATTATTTAGTCTCTGCCTGCTAACAGCTGAAAGGACATGAGTGATGCCACAACTTTCTGCTAGAGCGAAAGCTTCATCACCTAACAAGATGTGCAAACTCACGCTTACATAAAGTGCTAGTGTGATCTGCTCTGGTTTCGGTAGGAGCATTCACATCCTTAAAGTTAAAATCATGGATGGTCTCAGAAATGAGGCCCATATTTGAGAACTACAGTGTCGCTGTGGTACATATACCTCGGAAACTTTACTCTGGGTATTTTCTGATTTTGGCTTTTTTATTTCCGCAACGTTGATACTGCATTCATGCTAGCATCTAGCATTCAATTTGCATGTAGTTAGTCCTTAGTTACCTTATTGAGGGTAGTATGTTTTTGGGTTGCCAATAGCTGTGAAGATAACGTAGTAATGAAGAGTCCTGCAAAAGTACTTGTGTACTGACACTGTTCCTCTGTTTTATCTGAGATGAAACGTTTACTTTCTGGGAAGCTAAAAAAAAAGCAGTTGTTGTTTTTTATGTCTGTACCCTCAGAAACTTTTTCTGGTTGTTCTCATCCAAGGCATTTTTAAAACATTACTTTCTCATTGCTTTTGTTTAATTTCTTTTAATTGTTTTAAAGTGTTTGGGCATTCTCAGGGTGTTTTTTTGCTCAAGATGGGAATAGGCCTTCTAGAGATGATTTAAAAGTACTGTTGCCACTGACTGTCTTAGATATAAATTTAAACTTGCTAATTTACTTAGTAAAATTCTTTCAAAACTCAAAAAATTTTAGGATCTAATGATTCAAGTTGGGCTGTGAAAACCTCTAATCCTCTGTGTCCAAATCAACCTTCCTCATCCTATGTGCAGAAAGGAGGGAAGGGACATTTTGGGATGGAGTTCACTAGCATCAGGCCAAACATTGAAATAGTGTTTGCACAGCTGTGTCTAGGTAGTGACCAAACTGTTAAACAACCTAGTGAGGGGAAAATGAATAGAAACTCCTGTTGGCCAGAGGACTGAGTTTCCTGGACAGTGCTCAGGACGTTATGAAGTCATTGCACATGCTGGATCAAGGCTTTTACCCATATTTTCCCCTTGCGCTTGGGAATAATTCATGCTTCACTTTTTCATAATAATATAATTGGCTTAAAGCATCTGCACAAAATTCAGTACTGACGAACAACACACTGTAGTGTACTTACCTATAACTTCAATTAGGGAACCTTTCCCTTCCAGTGAACTGATTCACTGATGTGAGAGGAGATAGCGCCTGTATATCTGTCTTGCTTCCTTGCAAATTGTAGATTATGAAACTGGACTACTGAGCAATAATTTAATCAGTGGCATCAGAAGAGCATTAAGCTCCATTAAATGTTGGGTCACCATCAATGTCAGAAGAATATTAAATGATGGCTTGCAACTTAGCAATACTCATCCAAAAGGCAGTGCTTAGGTTCTTGGCAAACGTATAACAGTTTATTATGGAACAGATGCTTCAGAGCTTAACGTATGACCGAAGTGTCAAGCTGTGTCAGGGGAGTTGGGCCCAATAGTAGTGAAGTGCTCAGACTTGGTGAGACACATGTTAGTGAATTGCCCCCTACCTGAATGACGTGGGTTAAAAGTGTTTCTTTAATAGGCTCTCCTGTTGAATGCTTGTAAGTCAGAGCACTGCTCTGTCTGCCAAAGACTGGCTTATAATGTGAATAGGTTATAATAAAATTCTCTCTGCAAATGGTGGAGATGCAGTTCTCCTGATAAGGAGGGAGGATCCCTACAGGCTGCTCAGAGTTTGAATTTTTAGGTAGAAGAAACATCACTTTCTTGCTGGTTCTGGTGCACCGTAACATTGCCAGCCTGACATTTGGAGGATGACTTTGATAACTCTATTGCTAGTCGCAGATTTTCCAGGTAACAGCAGTGACGCTCTCTCTGGGTGGCTTTGCTCACTTTAGCGGCAGCTCTCACGCAGCAGCTGAATCATTGAGGCTCTTGTCAGTCGGCTGTACGGCTCCTGCCACTTAGGCAACCTGTGTGCTGCAGGAGACGGTGGGCTTGGAGCTACGCAGGGAGAGAGGGAGGAGGATGGAAAATGAATGCCAGAATAAAATGGTTTTCCCATTCCTGTTTAGGTACAAAGACAAGAAGGAGGAGATAAAAAAGAAAGGGAGTGGGTAGGACTGGTAGAGTAACAGATGTGCTGAGGAAAATTTTTGCTGGTGGTGGTGCTGGGAAAGGAATAAATGAGCATGATGTTAATACAGGTAAAGCTTACCTGGTCTTTATGCAGCCTCTAGCTTGGTGGTAGGATGGGTTCTCCAAGTGGGAATCCTAACAACATTTCCCTGCCCATCTGCTGAAGATGAGTGGTTAGGGTTCTTGCCAAAATCTTGCCCACAGTCAAGATTTTCTTATCCGATTGTAACCACAAGTTGGCCACATAGTCTTATGGGCACAGTATCATGGCAGGATATTTTAAGCCATGTTACAGGTTTTCATTTATTAAGGATTGCATCACTGGTGCTCAGATGTTGCCAACTAAATTCTTGCTGCTGTGCAGAAACCACAGTGCCTCTGTTTTGTGGCAGAGGGCTGCAGGTGGGAATGCTGCTCTTTCAGCTGAAGGAGCCTAGGACGGCTGGGCAGTAGGCAGTGGTCTTCAGGGAGGAGTTCTGTTGTCTGGCTCCAGGACAGGCTGACCAAGGTGATGGGGCAGGGTGCTGCAAAACCACTCCAGTCAAAAGTCTCCAGAATCCCCTTCTGCCCCTGATTTTCACCCTAAAATTTGGTGTTCATTTGCTTGTTAAAAAGTACTGTCCCAGAAATCTGCATGTCCTATATTCTTATACTGTTATTTTTCTTTTTGAAAATATACCAACTTGTTGAAATTTTAATACTAAGCTATTAATGTTGAAGCTTCAGAAATATTTTCAGTTTTCCGCTTTTCTCCCTATTACAGTTGTGAAACTGGCCATTATGCAGAGAATCAACTCTGAAGGGGACTTAGCAGAGCAGAACCTGTCATAAGAAGGGGAATTGCACCTTATCTTTATAGGCATTAGAATTGCCATTTCCTATCTACCAGTGCTTAATTTCATGCATGCTTTATTATTAAAAGCCCTGTTACTTCTGAAATAGTTCAAGTTAGTGAAGAGATTCTAAAAGAACTGGGAAGTTTTAAGGTATTACTGTTTCTTAACAGGAGGCTGAAATAATATGTAAGCACTAGCATCCATGTGATGCAGTGCAAGATCAGAATACAGCTGATAGATAAGTGGTTAACAGAGTGGTTGGCATTTGGAAATGATGGTGGAAATGATGCAGTTGATACCGTAGAGCAGGTACTTGGAAATAAAGATGTCCTTTATCTTTCAAAAAAATCCCCTCTTTGAGTCTCACCTAGGTTCAGAAAGTTTATTTTTAAAGACGCCAAAGGAGTTTGTGGCAGGTAAAGAGGACAGTCTTTTCCTTCACTCTTCAGTGACAAGGAGGAAGGCATGCAAAGTCATCCAGAATTACTATGATCAAAATAGTAATTATTATTAATTCATTCAGATTTTACAACTACTTGAAATGGTATCTAACCTTATGTTTCAGGTACACTTTTAAGAATAAATATGGAATAAAGAATCTCTCATACAGTAAGAAAATTAGTACATATAACAAGCCTTGTTAAACTCTGCAGAGTGAAACTTCAGGTATTTTCTTGTACTTTTTGGTTTTGTTTTTTTTTTTTTTTTTTCTGGCTTTTGATTAGGTCTGGATGAGGTGCTAACAGAAATACTTAGTATTGTTATGTTGATACAGCCTCTCCATCACTTTTCAATATA